CCCCCGCCCTGCAGTTAAACTGGATATTTCTTCTTTCCCCTTTCCTCTCTGTAGACATCCCTCCAACTTGATGCTTTGTCGAGAGACGGGCAAGGTGGTGCATATTGACTTTGGCGACTGCTTCGAGGTGGCAATGATGCGCGAGAAATTCCCCGAGAAGGTGCCCTTCCGTCTCACACGCATGATCATCGCTGCCATGGAGGTGAGTCTTCCTGACTTTTCTTTAGCTGTGTCGCCAACTCCTCCCCCCGCCTCTTGGTTTTTTTTTCGTTTTCACGCATACCACCGTTCAGCTTAGGTATCTTGGCAATTAAATTCGGTACAGGGCCGTTTACGACGAAGCTCGATTCCTGCACTTGACTTTCGAACCTGTTCTTTTACATTTAGTCATGCGGAGGGTGAAACCTGTTCACTCCCACTGAAGTACACCGGACTGTAGCCGCTTGTGGTCATCAATCGCAGTATAGCCTATCTTTGATTCTTCTCACCAGCCAAATACTTATAGCATCCTAACACCAGAACCGCGTTCGTCCGGGTGGTTTCTCAGTTTGCTGACAGGAATCAACGCAGCCTAAATATGATCAGTTAGACTTCTGATAAGCTGGTCGCGGGTTTGAGCCTAGGATTATGCACCATTTTGGGTTGAGTATGACTGCTAATGAACCATAGATGGTCATCTCAGTCTCCCTTGCCTTTGTCGAAAGGGTTCATCTAACTGCACTACCAGCGCCTGCGTGGCTGCTGGTTCGAGAGTGAGTCCCAAGGCAGAACGAAACGAATTAGTTCCGTTAGTGATGCATGAGCGTTCTTCAACGAATATAAGTAACTTCTATCTTTACCTTTCCATTACCTATTACTTCGTTTCGGGCTTGGGCTTGTGAGCGCTCCTCAGACGCCTAGTGTGAGTATAGGTGCAGACACCTGGTAAGCGTTTAATTTGTCGAAGGCATTTGGCAGTCCAGTTCGGCCTTTCTCAGTTAATCGGTGCAGTGGTTGGACGATTGAAGCGAAGTGTAGAATAAATTTAGGATAATACGATGCCAACCCAAGGAAACCACACAGTTCGGTCACGGATTTGGGAACGGGCCATAATTGTATCCGCACCGATTTTCTCTGGGGAAGCGTGGTTGCCTTCTCTGCATATTTGATTCCGCAGATATGTAACCTTATCCTGTAAGGCGGTGCATTTCTGCGGGTTAAAGCGTAGTTCTGCATCGCGTAAGGCCGTTAAGACGGTCGAGGGGTTCTGGTCATGATGTGTTGTTGTGCGGCCAAAAAACAATTACATCGTTTAGATATAGCAGACACTGGGTTGGTAGTAGT